TAGAAAGTGAACCCAGTAAACAAAGGAAATTACCCGTTTTCAAACGACATTTACTATTAACCGTCAGCCGTCAAACGACAATAACAACAACAATAAATAACGACGACAACAAACAACAACGACGAAAAACGACAAACAATAATAAACAACGACCAACAACAACGACCAACAACAGCGACCAACAACAACGACCAACAACAACGATTAACAACAACGACCAACAACAACAACAACAACAACAAAACTTCACGCCAGTTCGAAAAAGGCAGAAAAATTGTAATGCTTTCGATCTGCATTTAAGCTCTTTTCTTTCATCCACGAGAAACACTAACCATGTATTTCAAATGGGTCATTAAATGTGACAGATCTATTCATCGCTTAATAATATACTGTTTTGAATTCATAATAACTACGCACCCAGCACACTATGTACTGCCCTAACGCAATGTTGTGCAGCGTCCTCAAGTAACGGATAGCATGAGCGACATATAGCAAAAGTATATTTTATAAACTCCTCTTCGTGTATGCATTTGCGAACAATCACGGTGTCATCGTATACGCTTTATTCATGTCCCGGAATCTTCCGACCAAAAATCATTAGACTTATACATGTTACATCTATGCAGTGTGGGTTTTAAGGTATACCTTGTAGAATGAGAATCACTGCTTCTTGGGTAGAAGGTATATCTTGTTAACAAAACGTCGCTTGTTCGACCTTAGCGTGAAGCATCGTATTTCTTGAAGCAGACACGTTGTCGTCACCACTTCCAGGTCGCTTAAGAAAAAATTGACCACGAATTGTCGTATCCAGAACTCCATACAATCATATGGCAATCACATTGTATATATGTTCGTTAACTAAGTTTAGATTTGGTTTTTCACCTAGTTTTCTCATCGAAATGAAATGTTCGGTGGCTATGGAAGAATATGAAGTTGACTATCCGCATGGAAATTAGTCCATCTGAGTGAATATTCAGTAATTCATGGAATAGTGCAGAGCTGGAAAAACTACAATTATTTCCGAGTATAGCCTCTTGATCTCCTTAACCTTAGGTAGTGTAAGAGCCGAGCACCGTCTCAGCTCCCTATTAGTGTTTCCTTGTTCACTGGAGTTCGATCTTCATTCCCCAAATTATACCCGCTGGTTGCGTCTTCACTACAGACCGAATGATCTCTCTTGCCTTCCTATATTGACAAATTTACGTTTTAATTCGAAAAAAAGAAACTGGAATTACAGAAGTGAATAAAAATCGCGTTTTTAAAAGAGAAGAAGAGAGAAGTGAGTCACTGCAGTCGGGGCGACAAATATTCATCTCAAATGGATACAAAACAACGGCCACTGAGATCAGGTCAAAAAGGAGAGCTAGGCCTCCTAACCAAAAGAATACAATCTCAAAACCAAACAGGAAGACAACTTCAAAGTTACCATTCTTGTTAAACGAAGTAATCAGCACTATGCCTAAAAAACGGTGGTCTGGAAAACTTTGTGGCAGTTATAGAAATTCCACTTGGCACTACGTCATCAGTTGGTTCGAGACAGCCTCTATAACCGTCTGTGTAAACAAGATTACCTCATTTGCCTTAGCGACATAGATGGATACTGCATGACCTCAGATACAAAACACCTCTCTCGTAAGAGATGCGATGACGCATACATGGCGAAACGCGTGGAGCACAGTGTCCACACAACACAGAACACCTGGATGTAATGTCTAAAAACTCGATCAAGTACTCCTCTGGGTACACATAGAGCACAAGGCACAATGGTGACGATTTTGAGATGGTAGTCATTATCTTGTAGTAGAAATCAAAATCTTTAGCGCTAAAACCCTTTGTTTCGGATTAATTTCGAAAATCCAAAACTAAATGAAAAGGGAGAGCGCCCGACTACCACGCGTAGTATGGCGCCTTATCCCAAATTGATTGTCTGATTTGAGTAAGATTCAATGATGCTCCAATATTTGCAAAACTTAATACCCCAAGTCAACTTTGAGCCCTCGGTTACCCTTTCCACGTGTTACCCACTGCATCAGCTAAACCTTTTCATTGCCCTTCTTTCAGCCAGTTTTTCTATCCTTATGGTGCTGACAGCAATTTCACATGATACTTGCCCATAGTAAATAGTGCGCACTAGATAGAAAGTTGAACATTAGGTAAGGTACATTGCCCATACTGAGTGAGCGACACGACGATGACCGTATTTCATCGGAGGAACTAAACAGAGGACTTTCTTCGATAGCACGATTTTTGGATTGGTTTTCTAACTAAATGTTCATTAGAATTAGGAAATATCAACTAAATAATAAACGATACAGTACAGTACGTGAAACAGTACGTTTAGGCTCTAAGAGCGAAATCGCCGAGATGTCAGTCAACATATTTAAAAAGAAGAGAATCCAACCTCGTGCTACCTTAAACGAAGACGGTTCGTAAGATATTACTGAAAACTGTTTTGTCGTCGGAAAATAAACCGTTCCGTATTCTTCCTCTTCTAGTGCTTCCCCGTCGAACCGCTTTCTTTTCTTGCTCATTTCACATTAGCGGATGGTAAACCTCCAATATAAGGCTCATTAACAATCTAATTTTTCTTCGTTCTCATAATTTCGATTTTATATTGGCAATTTTATCGTATTATTGTTGTACAAGTGGGTTCGCATGTCGTCAGCAACAACATCGACCATCCTTTGTCCAATAGGGAGGATTCGCCGAATTGGCACTAGTTACTTATAGGACAATACTGATTTCTGGCAATAGTTTTTTTCAGCTGGATTGTAGACAGCAATGCTTTCTTTCAAATGCAAACCACTGAGTGGTTCTCGATTGCTTATGCGGGATTCACAAGTACTGCTAACCAGTATCACCAGTAAAAGGTCGTTGAGCGATTCAGTGAATGCCAGCATAGTCTCAACTTGTCCCTTTCGAAAGTCTGACTAGGCCACTGATTTCTGTTTTATTGTGGGATACCAAGAGCGCCATATTTTCCTTACAGAAGTTTCACGAAGAAGTTTGATCATGTCGGTGGTATGCATGTTGTATACTTGATATTCCGTGGAGACCTGATCGCTAATGGATCTTGTACCTCGATTATTTTTGACACACATAGTTTGTCCCACCATCCTGCTTTTCGAAACCTTGAGGAAAATTCTAGTGATTTATATCACAAATAATGAGGTCCACTAGGCCCGTAGATCGGACAGGGCCAGCGCACTAGCTAAAACGTTGTTCAATAATACGTGGAAAAGATCTAGCTCGACACTGACTTAGGTCAACCAAATCTCAAATATAGCCACAACGTTGCTGAGATATTTGCAAAACTCCGGACCGCAGGTGCTTGCGGTGAGGAACGAACGCGCTACTGTCCTTTTCGGAGAGTAAAGCGTTCACCACCACACCATGCAGGTCCTTCATTTCGCATTTCTCTTGATTTCTGACTTGTGATTAAAACTGTGATTATAACTGCAGCCTCAGCTTAATTGGGTTCGTTGCCGATTTTGGCTCCCCAGATCAATCTCGCTGATGGGTGATTGCTGACGGAAAAAGATCGATAGCACTAGCTGAGAGAAAGGCGAAACGAAGTACCCGCATGGTGTGGTGTGAACGCGTTACTCTCCGGCGAGGACAATAGCGCGTTCGTTCCCCACAGCAGACACCAGAGGTTTGGAGTTTTGCAAATAACTCAACAACATTACGGTTATACTTCACATAATGCCCTGCCATTAAAAATTAGTAGGCAGTAAATGAGAATTGACAACATTGTGATTTAAACCTCAAATACTTCCAACGTCGTGAAATTTACACTAGACTTGTTTGGAACGATGAAGACGCTCTGGGAAGGTCACCTTCATCATTCCAGTAGTCAAATCCATCAAATTTAAATGAAATATACGAAGACGAGAAAGGCCTTAAGCAACTATTGAAATGAAAACTCAATGACTAGATTGCCGGTAGATGCGAAGAAACGAATCGAATAAAAGAAGTGCCGGCCGGAACCCGCAGAATGCAGTGTTGGGTCATGCAAACCAAAAGAAAAAAAGTTAAAAAGGACTCAGATGTACTTCAAAAAGTGATTGTGTCGATTTAAATCACAGCATGTACTTTCGGATATGTTGCGTGTGTATGAAAAGCTAAAGAAATTCAAACCATGTATGAGACGTACATAAATCATACCATAGCAAATAACGGATAAAAAGGATAAGACTTTCGGCGTTGATCAACTCCTGATGGATAGGTCCCGTACTCGACTTCATAAAGCATCTTTAGGGCTGAGTGAATGCATATCGGGCCTATACAATGATTCGCAGTGGGCTACCGATGTGTCGAGTTTCTGCTGTTACTCTTCCAGTCAGGTCTGTAGCAATTTGCCGACGATGGAGGGATGTAAGGCTTAGTGAGCTTAGGATGCGGGAATGAACCAAAGTGTGCAGGACATCTCTAACCACTGCACTACAAGTGCCTTATAGTGTTGCACTACCGACTTACACGTACTGTGGCAAATGTGATATTTAACTGACATGTAAATTGACCCATAAATTTCTGCATAAACTTACAAAGGTAATATTTAAACAAACATACAAACGGTACAATATCGAAATACAAGGATTTCAAACGACCATGGAACAGTAAAAATGGAGTTATTCAACATCCAAACAACCTTCTCTCATGCTCACCTATATTAGAAAAAAATCCGCAGAGTGTATTACATCCACATAAATATAAACCGAACACTATCATCGACCAATGTGGTCAATCAATACAGGTGAATTCGATGGAAATGGAATAAGAAAGTACTTGGGGTAACCATTAGCCGAATTTTCGACTTTTATATTGACCTCATTACGAGCAACCGTAGAAATGAGATAGTCAAGCATCTATTTGTTTCTTCGAAACTAGTTAGAAAAGAAGCCATGAACCGTAAAACATCAGTGCTCATGACAAAAAAAGGAAGAAATACCACGTATTTGACTTTTCCTCTCCATACACTGGGAACAAGCTACTTTGATTTAATCTCTAGCTAGCTTGCTAAGATACGTAACAACCTCTAGAGGTTGTGGAGGATCCGGAACCTCCCACGACTCTTCAATAGGACGCTCTATGCGAGTTTTACAGACGGGACAAGTGAACTGCGGTCGGAATTCCATTTCTTGAGCAACACATACCATACAAAACGAATGCAAACATGGAAGCAATACCTATGTATAGTTGTAAATAGTAGAGAGAGAAATTAATCATTTCAAACCGCAAATTTGAAAAAAAGGTAAAACGCAAGTATGAATGGGATATAAGGAACTACCTCGTTATTATTCTCCATGCAAATGCAGCATAGTCCCTCGTTATCCGCCCTTAAAAAGAATGTTGTCTACGAAAACAGTACTCTTAGATAGACTAGGAGAACAGTGGTATATGAACTGAAATTTCTTATAAAAATATGTGTCTCTTAACCATGAAAGAAAGGAACAGAAGGACCAAAACAGCAAAGTATGCACACGATGAAATGATCCATATGTATACCTATTGGCCACCAGCGAACAAAATCTTTGACCAATTCAACACAACCATTTGCCTTCAAGAAACAAAAATCATTGTGTAGAAAGAAAAGCAAACAGGCACTAAGAGCGTTGATACCATCTACCATTGTTGTCACCACACCTCTACGATATGTTCATATTTGTCAAGAACGAATACACCCTCCTCCGAACGGTCTACCACCCCATCGTGGCTGGAAGGTGTTCCTCGGTGTCGGCTGCGATGTACAGCGGAGGGATGAATCCCCGGTAGGGACTTCCACAATCTGAAAAGGAGTTCAGCGTCTTCATCAGGAAGAACAGCTAAGAGTAAACCAATACCAGGATCCACCACCGTCCTGGTGTCAAACTATGGTGGCAGATCTCCCTCTGATCCACAATAGCAGCAGCTGCCTGTAGTGGTGACGACCTGGGGCAGACTTTGGCCAGCTGATCTCGGGACTCTACGGAAGCACAATGGCTGAACCAGTAAAACTCCGAAAAGTGGATGATATGCTGGGGCCCGCTCAACTAGTGAGGACTAGCCGTCCAAGTATCCAAGTAAGTAGGAATACAACCTCGCAAACTACGGAACCCTTTTTTAATGGTTATTTTTCCACTACATGACCTAAACTACTTGGCAACGAACCGGCTCTAAGGGGAATAGATTGTCCAATCGATAGTTATATAATATGGAGTATTTTGGGGTGATGCAGGCTTAGAATGAGAAGATTCATGTTAAAATGATCAGTTCAAGCTTGTTTTTTTCTTTTTCGCGCAGCACCCTGCAAAATTTTGTTCCCAAGTAGCGCAACATAATTATACCGTCCTCACTGCGTGGATTGAATCATCAGTGAAAATGAAAACGTCATAACTTATTGCTTTCCTTGATGAGAAAACGAGTCAGAAAATATGGGAAATGCCATAAATGAGAGAAACCTTAGCTCTAAAGACCATTTTTCCATCAAGAAAAAAGGAAAGAAGCATAGGTGAAAACATGGAAAACTGTAACAACTCTCTTTTCTGAATAGAAAGTTCCACAATTCGAACACAATGCATGAAAGAGACTTTCTTCTCAGTTGCCATGTACTACAAACTGAAGATACCCTTTTGGATTTACACTGCTCTTCATCATCACAACCCGACCACTCATTACCATTATAGGCAGCATTTTAAACACACCTTATTTGGACACTTTCATATTTGGATGCTTAGTCTTCACTGCTTGTGCGGACACCAACATCATCTCCATTTTCTCGGCGTTTTGCTGGTCTATCCATAGTGGTTCTCCGGAGTCCCGATGTTAGCTTGTCCAAAGTCTGCCCTAGGTCGTCATCGCCGCAGGAAGTTCCCGCGGAGTGGATCAGAGAAAGATTTGCCACCATACGACTTTGATACCAGGACGGTGATTGATCCTGGTATTGGTTTACTCTTAGCTAGGTTTCCTGATGAAAACGCCGGACTCCTCAGCTTGGGAGACCCTACCAGGGGATGAATCCCTCCACTGTACATCGCAGCCCAACAGCCAGGAACACCTCCCAGCCACGATGAGGGAGTAAACCATTGGAAGGAAATAAAACATCATGATCAAAAAAATCCAAAATATTAACGCTCCTTTAAACACCTCCAAATCGGTTATCGATTTTCCCATATTCGACAAAAATTTACGGTTTTGAAACACAAGAAAAACACACATTACCAGTTGACTGCAGGTCTTCAGGACAATAAAATGATAAAGCAGAAGCAACATACGTCTCATCTAGGATGCATCTACTCGAGCACATGTCGTTTGATATGCGGCTCTGCGTAGCATCTTTATGCAGATTGTAAACGTTTAAGAACTCATGCAAATGCAGAACCTTGTTCGAAGTCACTAGCCTGGCTTCTAAATTGACCTAAAACATGGGAACACAGGACATTACTAAATTATTCGAATTGATTGAAGAGTAACGCCATTCAACTACTTCTACACATAGTTCTTGAAAAATTTGACTCAAATACTAATGGCGCTTCTAGTATAGAAGGTACGGGTAAAGCAAAACCGGGGAAGGTTACCGTGGAAAATATAGGGATAGGGAAGTAGGAATAGACCGTATCCGTCTGTGGCTTGTTTGTGGATTGAAACAGTTTATTGTTAAATTACTTTAAGGCATTCCTTGCCACAAATTCTTATCACTTCACTCTTAAAATATGGGTAATTGAACACTCAGAATGACGAACATTAAAGCATTTGATCCTGGCTTTGTTCTTCCAGAACAACCCATCGGTACAGTACTTGTCAAGGGCGAAGCAGATATATTCCCCCTTCTCGTTACGGACACGGCAGCACCTGAATTGTACCACCTCATAGGCGATTAAGTACAAGACAATTCACTTTCGAAATAAAAAACTGCATACCCATGAATATACATGTACACTAGTTATGGCTGGGAAAATAGACTCTTCGCCAGTAACATTTCAGTACATAGAAGCTTTGAAATGTTGCGTACTTCTTATTCAGTTCCTTGATCATCTCCATGAAAGAGGTCCACGTGATTTCATCATACTGACGCCTTATTGGGACGGAATTAGAGTCGATAGTGCGATTTACGCTACCAGCGGAATTGCCCATCACCGCTAGTCCGTCATAACACCGCTTTGGCAGACGTACGTTGAAAAAAGACGACTTCTGAAAAGAAAACGAACACAGATAACTGCTAGTGGAACTACACCGCTACGAAGTGAGACATTTACATTTTTATAAGCACAGCGATCTAAAGTGAAGATAGCATTAAATTTCATGTGATCGCATTACAAAAAACAAAAAGACCGACATAAGCCAACTAAACAACAGGACCCTTGCGATCCGTAAAGAAAAGGTTCCGTCATGAAATGTGAGCAGCGTAGGCTCTGTCGTCCACCTGTCCATTATCCATCTCGTCGACTCATACGAGATCCTTTCCCCTCGCGTAGCCGTACTCCGCCTTCAACTGCCGCACCATTGGAAGATTACTATCATCAAATGCTACTCACCGACCGACGCAGCTGATGAGTACGAATTAAATGCGTTCTACTATCAGCTGGAGGAAGTCATCCGCAATGATAAATCATAAAATAAATTTGTTGCTGGAGCCTTCAACGCCGGAATAGGAAAGGCCAGCTAGAGCGAATACAGGATCGGAAATTTTGGATTAGGAGAAAGAAACGAGAATGGGAACCGTCTCGCAAGACTCCTGTCAGCAGCACGTCTCCTCCATGGAAACTCGTTTTTCCAGAAAAGAGGAAGCCGCCGCTGGACATGGGAGTCTTCCAACGGCTTGACTCATGCGGAGATCAACAACATTCCGACAAACAGAAGGAGGTGCCTACTTGACACATCGGTAGTCTCGTCATTCTGTACTAGTTCCGATCACCACTTTCTTCGCGCGAAGATTCGATTCAGCCGCAAGCTGGAAAAGAACTCTCTTCATTGACCACAAGGAAAAAGTTTAGCTGTATACGACGAGAACATTCTGAACGAAGTTTTATCCAAACGTGACTGGCAGATTAAAGAAGATCCGACCAAAGACTACGAGCTGCTTGTCGAAGGACTGAAAAGCTGCGACAAATTCGCTTCACTTCCTCAAGCTGGAAGATCGGATCGCATCTCCATCACTACTAAGGAGTTGCTCGAAAAGAGAAGGAAACTGAAGCTTGATCCTACTGCAACACGGTTAACATGGCCAGTAATGTCAGCTGCCGGAGAGCTTTGCAGGAAGATCTACAACGGTACAAGCAGAAGAAAATACTGGAAGCAGCAGAAAAAAGAAGCAGTCTGAAAAAATGCCGTCGGGACTTGTGTGATTACAATGTTCGGCTCTGATGAACGAAGATGGGATCGTCAAAACATCCCGCCATGAAATGGAATAAATAGAGGAAACGTTCTACACCAACCTTTTCCGTTCCACAATCTCCGTCCAGGGCCCTAATATCCCCGCTGGAGAAAACCCACCTGGAATTCTTTCGTCGGAGGTTCGAGTTGCGATAGAAAGCATGGAAACAGACACAGCTCCAAGACCCGATAATATTACCGCTGACTTCCTTAGAGTTGGAAGCCACAATTTACACGTACTTCTCACAAATCATATGGCAGCGTGCCTTCAAAAGGAAAAAATTCCAGACCAGTGGAGGACGTCGCGCAAGGTCACCCTACCCAAGAAAGGAGACCGAAGGGATCTTCGTAACTGTCGTCCCATATGCTTGTTAAGTGTACTCTACAAGCTCTTCACGAAGATTATCCTCTCGCGCATATCAAAGACATTGGATGAGGCGCAACCAGTCGAGCAAGTAGGATTTCGAAAATGGTTTTGTTGGATGGACCACATCCATCATCGAAGTTTGTCGGGAATACCACTTGCCTCTAGTGCTAATCTTTGTCAATTATGAAAAAGCGTTTGACAGTGTCGAAACGAATGCAATCCTATCAGCGCTCGTCAAGTAAGGAGTGGACCCGTCCTACATAAGAACTCTGTCCGACTATTATCGGAACTGCACAACGAAAACACAGCTTTTCCATCGACCTCTTACCATAAAAAAATGAAAGGATAAAGCATTCGGCGTTGATCAATCCTTGAGGGATGCGCCATGCATTCGACTTCATTAAGTATCGTTGGAGGTGATTGAATGCATATCTCGAAATTAATCGTGGTGGCCTACCGATCCATCGCGTCAGCGCTGCTATCCTCCCAGACAAGTCTGGTACCAATATACCGACCGCGGAGGTATGGAAGGTTTGGTGGGCCATGGGCGCAGGGATCGATTCTACGTGTGCCTGACAATGGCGCCCCCAACCACTGCGCCACACGCACCCTCTTACCATGCCCATAGGAAAATGGATTCGACAGGATGACACAATGTCGCCAAAGCTGTTCAGTGCCGCACTGCTGTCGATAATGAAGTCACTCGATTGGGATGAGAAAGGTATACGTATTGATGGAAAATTCCTATCAAACCATCGTTTTGCCAACGACATTGTCATCTACTCAAGAAGCACTAGCGAAGCAAAAATGATGATCAACGGGCTCAACGAGGGGGGAAAAGATCGGACTTCGCATAAACCGAAAGACCCAGTTCATGAAAAACCCATGGTGCGGAAGGCGAGAAAACTGAATTGAATGGTTCTCTTATTGCAGAGACCACCTCGTACGTATACCTTGGGCGATCAATGAACATGGAAAAAAACATGAAGGAGGTACTAGATAGAAGAAGAAGAGCAGCTTGGACCGCATTCGGACTTCTCAAAGAAGCCACCGACCAATTGAAGGACCCGAAAATCCGCGCTCATCTTTTCGATTCTACGGTCCTCTCAACGCTCTGCTATGCTGCAGAGACGTTGGTTGATATTTCAACTATATCAAGAATGCTTCGCACTACCCACAGAGCGCTTGAGCAATGTCTTCTGAAATATAACCGGCACTTTCAATATGTAGCCGGAATGCGAAGCTCTGACCTTCGAAATCTGTTACATCTTCGAGATCCAGGAGAATACACATCGACAGCGAAACATAGATGGGTCAGTCACATAATGAGAAGAACAGACGACAGAAGGACGAAAAGAACAGTAGAGTGGATTCCAAGAAAATGCAAACGTCCTCTAGGACGACCACGTACACGATGGGCGGACGTGTTCGTAAACAAAGTTAATCAGGTGTACCCGCAGCTGCAGTTGTTTTACAAATCACGGTATGAGACTCGGCGCTACTATGCTCGAACAAGACCACCACCATGGAGTACGATTACGAGAGAAAGGAATGGAATGGCACATGTGCTGGGGTCAATACAACTCGTGAAGACGGACCGTCCAAGTATCCAAGTAAATAAGTAAGTACGGTCTAACGTAATATGATTGTGTTCACTAGAAATGTAACGTCACAAAGGAAAAAAGGGGTGCATGTAGTGCAGTGGTCGGAGGTGCCCTGCCATTCACACGGGATCCATTCCCCCGCCCCAAGCCCACCAAGCCCTCCATCCCCCCAGGGTCGGCAAATTTCCACCAGACTTGTCTGGAAGGATAGCAGCACTGATTCGATACATCGGTACGCCAGCATGAGTCATTATGTGGGCCTGATATGTATTCAATCACCTCCAAACGATGCTTAGAGAAGACGAATGCATGGCACACCCCTTAAGGATTGATCAACGCCGAAAGCTTTATTCTTTTTCAGCTTTAAATCACTAGCCGATAGATGAAATACTGCAAAGAAACACAACGAACCTTTCCAGTCAGTAAGAAGATCGCACCAGAAAGCTCAGTCAAAAGAATGAACGACAGACTGTTGAAATCCTATCAAAACTGAGAGACCAACCAACGTGCTCCGCTTCCAATGTGCGCACAGCGGTCACACGGTAGCTACGGAGCGCATTTTCACTCAATACTATGGAAACAACTTCCTTTTTGTGTAGTACTTTATTCTTAATTGCTGCTTAATGTTCTTAATGTGTGTATGAACGACTTTTTAAAAGATTGTAAATGCTTTCAAAGACGAGTGTTGGCTGTGTTTCTTTGTGGAATGCACAGCAGACAGTTGACAAGAGCGTGTTCGAAATCGGTAAGAAATTTCTGGATACATGATTGTTGTCTGAGAGACGGCCTAATTCTGGATTTACAAAGGACTTTGTGTTAGAGAGTGTTGGGATCAGACGTAGCTGAAGTGAAGCTGACATCATTGACGGGACACTCTAAAAGTCGGGGATCCAATGACATCCTTGTCTTTCTTCAAAATAGTCTTTACATTTGACGGACTCTTTGTTGTACTTTTGTGCTCTCCTAGACTTTCCACAGTCGTCATTGGTTTTAGTTGTCCTTGATGACAGGTGTGGAAGCCGTGAGAAAATCTCGTCGTCTATAGTTTATAAGAGATTTGTATCACTTCCAATTTAGGGCGTGTGTGGCGCTGTGGTCGTAGACGCGCTGCAATACACATGGGGTCTATTCCCGCGCCTGTGACCACTAAGCATTCCATCCCTCCGGGGTCAGCAAATTGGTACCAGACTTGTCTGGGAGGATGGCAGTATTGGCTCGATACATCGATAGACCACCGCAAGCCATTGTAATGGCCAGATATGTAGTCAAGCACCTCCAAACGATGCATAATGAAGTCGAATGCATGGTGCATACCCCAGAGGTTGATCAACGCCAAGAGCTTTATCCTTTATCCTTTTATATATCCAATAAAACATATTTTGTCTCCTTATGTGGCTCAGTGTCAGATAAAGTTTACCTAAGCATTACTCTACATCGGTTCCATTGGGATTGTTAAGCGTGTTTCTTGAAACTCGCTCTGAGAAACCTTCTCTCTCTTCTATATGTCTACGTGTGTTAACATTGAACTTCTTGTCCAACTGCTGTGCTCAGATTGTAGAAGTAGAATCGGTCGTATTCGTACAAGGTTAGATAAGGGTAGGTTCCTTATCGTAAATCCCACTAGAACGAAACTCCAACTATTCCGTTTAGTTGTTTTAAGCTGACCAATCTGGCTAATAAAGGGAATGTTATGAGCTTTAATAAATTCTCTTCATAAGGTAGGCCAGATGTGCATTCGGTCACCTCTGACGATGCTTAGTGAAGTCGAAGGCATAGCGCATCTCTTAGCGATTGAGCAGAGCCGAGAGCTTTACCCTTTTTTTATCCTTCGTGAGGTCAACCGTGCGAAGATGGCTTTGTGAGCTCAGAAAACAAGTTTAGTACCATGAAGTAGAAAGTTTAGCTTAACCAGGCAACAGAATTATTTTAAAAAACACTTTCTTTGAAATCGAAAGCTGTATGTTTCCGAGAGGTAGCACTCAGTGTCGGACCCGAATTATGCCAAATGAATTTCAGATAGTATAACTTTTTATTTACTGCTTATTTCCTTATAAAAGCAGTGGTACATAAGAGATCATCCATTATACATTTTGATTTCGACTGCAGCTTCGCTTAACAGGGTTCAATGTCGCTTCGTGCTTCCCAGATCGTTTCCATTGATGGGTGATGCTGATGGCGCCGTTAGGATAAAGGATTCGTGAGAGAAAGACAAAGTGAATGCCTCGGCGGTGCAGTGGATAACAAACGAGCGCCCGAAAAAGGTCACGGGTTCGAATTTGGCCTGGGGTTCGGTTTTTGTCAATACCTGAGCATTATTGTGATCGAATTTCCGATTGTTCCTACTGCTTTGATTTCAGCTTTGACAAGCGAACGAACTAGATGTGTCACTGAGAAGGTCAAGAGGGTCAAGCAGTTCCTCGATCTCTCTGAACATTCCGATCGACTGTGGTACAGCATGAATTTCGCGGTTAATCGATAAACCGGGCAAGTGGTTCGGCTAGTCAGCCCGGTGTCGTGCTAGTAACGGTTGCCACTGAGAGCATTGTCCTCATATTTGTAAGGAACAGACGCATTCTTGAAAGCTAGAACTACTAACACCTCATAGTCGGTAAGGTGCTAAGTATTTACTGCTTGTGTCCTCCGAGTTGTTGTTGTCCTTAGTCTTCGAGACGAACATATCTGTTCGTTCACCGCTCCTATCGTGTCGCTTTATCTCTCTTTTCGGTCTCCATCGGGCGCTCGGCGACGACTGGGAAGTTAGCGTCCAGGAAACCGCACTGCTGTATGTTCTCTGTTATCACTTCTTCCTTCTTGATGTATCTTTTCATTCTGGCTAAAATGCATGTTGTCGCTACCTCTACGTTTTACTTTCTTGGAAGAGTGCTGACCGGGTTGATAAAGGGCCTAGAGATTTCGCAGCTCGTGTTAGGTGAAGCGACTCAATGACCGACTAGGAATGGATTCTGTTGTTCTTCTTCGTTCTTCCTAACATGCATTCCGTTGCCATATCGTTTTTAGTTTTGCTTTCTTGGAAGAATGGTGGCCGAATTGATAAATGGCGTAGAGATTTCGAAGCTCGTACTGAGTGAAGTTGCTAAGAAACTAATGCTAACGAAGAGTGAAAACCCAGGCTTTAACGTTGTGCTAGCTATTGTTCAGGTGTGTCATACTTTAGCCTCTTCGCCTTGTTCCGTTCTCTATTTTCCAAATTTGCGTTTTCAAATAGTGAATAATTTCCTTGAACCTTTAGGTTGGAAACCGATCGGATTCGAATGTGTACATAGGCGCCAAGATTAAAAAAGCTAAGGAAATCGGTGCTGAGGGAAGGCTTATTAAGTTACCCGATACGACCACTCAATCAGAGCTTGAAGCGGAGATATATAAGCTGAACGTGGATGACGACATCGATGGAATCATCGTGCAGGTGAGCTTGTCCTCGTTCTAGACCATTGCTCTGCGTTCTTATCGCTGCAGTTTTTTCTAAGTGACGTTGTTCATTTCTATATCAACAGTCTGATTTCAATAACCTTAATGCTTGTTACGAACCACCGCAAACTTATGCAAGTCAAACACTAATTTAACTCCAAATTTACCCAGAATTCCACTTTTCGCAACACTTAACATCGAATATAGGTGAATTGACGGAGTTAATTTAACATATACTGGCTTATTTTATCGTAGAAAACCTTTTTCAGCACTTTTTGTATACAGTTGATGTTTTATCCGGCATGAACTGGTCGCTAGGTGTTGGACGATAAAATTTATTCGCTAAACTTAATAATTTTCAAAAAGAATTCTATCGGATATTATGCTTCCTCATGGGTCCGGAAGCGACTAATTGCCTTTTCTACGGATACAGCAGCGTAAAAATCGTCAACATTAAAGAATGTTTATATGACTTTTACGTAGGGTAGATAGGCTGACGTGAATTGATGCTAAATTGCATCGAGTGCGGCTAAAAATTAGAACTTTAAATATGTCCTTTTGTGTTAACACTGTGCACCTTTTTAAAGTGTAGGCTTGCCCCTTGAAGCGGAGTACAGCAAGATAGAGTACTTTTCTGCGTGAATTTGTTTAAACTTGGACAAAAAGACGCGGAAACTGCTAACAACATCAACGCTGCATTTGGTTAGGGAACCATTAGCGAGTGTATGCTACATTGTAGGTGCTAGAGACTTCATCGTCGAAACTTTGAAGCTTATATGGTGAGCCGCTGTCATCAAATACGACCACCGTTGACTGAAGAGAACTTCGCACTCGAGGGTTCCAAAACTTCCTATAGAACCAAGTTTTGATGAAAGAGTTGTAGAGCTTCGCAGTCCTTCAGAGATTTTAAGAAAGTAAAGAAAAATCGGCGCCATATGTATAGAACAAAAGCGAAGAGGTCGTTGTTGTGGAATTTCTCTTGCTATTTAATCTTTACAGGGCAGAAACAATCCGTTTCCTGATCACAGCGTGAATGCATTTTGGTCTGCAAATAACAATGTTGTGCTCTGAAAAATGATTCGTCAGTAAACTTCTCGTAACAACACAGGCCATTGCGTATGGCTGCGATGACTTTTTCGTAGTACTCCTATTTAATCGTTTACTAAAGCTTGTTGTTCCCAACGGTTTACCGCCTCATCGTGGCTGGGAGGTGTTCCTGAAATGGAGTTCGGCGTTTCCGACAGGAAGCCTTGCTAAGAGTAAACCAATACTAGGATCCACCACCGTCCTGGTATTTAAAGTCGCATGGTGCAAATCTCCCTCTGATCCACAAAGGGGCAACTGCTTGTGGTGGTGACAACCTGGGGCAGGCCTTGGCCTGGCTGGCCTCGGGACTCTAGGGAATCACAGTGGCTAAAGCAGCAAAACTCCAACAAAATGGAGATTACGCTGGGCCCGCGCAACCAGTGAGAATGGGCCATACCAGTATCCAAGTAAGTAGGTAAAACTTGTTAAATCCTGTCGACATCCGCATTCAAGTAGACAGTAGAGAAGTATTGTGAGGAAGTCGACTGAATGCACAAAACACTGTGGTCGACATCGGTCGAAAGAAATGGGTTCCATTATACAGCAGTGTCAGACTACAGTTCGCACCAAGATTCTATTGACAGAAAGGTCTAAAAATTTTCGCCAACAGAAGAATAGGTATTTTGTTCTATCACGGTGAAATTCTGGTTTTCTGGAGCCCACCATGCGCACTCTGTGAACTCATTCTCATATCATCTGAGTTCGTATTTCGAAAGTGAAAGTTGATGAACTAACGGTATTTTATCCTTTAGAACACAGTAGACTCCCCAAATGTGGTGTTGATGTTTAAGTCTGCCGAAGTTTCGTTTGGACTTTTAAAAATTTAAAAATTTGAGTCACCTTTTAATTCTATTTGGGAATTTTGTTTCTATACAGCGTTAGAAATCGAATAACAGTCTTAAGGAACCACATTTACACTGAAATAAGTAGAACAAAGTTTATTCTTTAAACCCATTACGTTTTAAACTCTTCAATTTTTCCAATTACCGAAAATTATTGGCAATTTGCAAAAACAAAGGAAAAAATGGTTTTGGGCCTTAAGTGTCAAGCTGCATATTTTCTTTTTGTTTGGTATTCGACACAAATCCGAAAACGAAAGTTGAAAAGCTGCCTGGTCAGAACTGCGCACTGATGAAGTACACAGCTGTGTTTGATGAAGCAGTTTCCATCCTATTTGGAATTGTTTTCAGCTACCACTGGACTGTAAGAACACCATTGACGTTGATGGAGTTGTGGACAAGATACATCCGCTGAAGGTAAGTGTGTCTTCTAGTGAAAATTTACTCTTTTTATTAATATGTTAGAATTGCCTTTTGTTCGAAAATCATCTGGCTCATGTATGACTCACATCTGCGCCAACATGTGTTCGATATGACTCACTTTTATGGATTGCTCTTTGCACAGAGCTTTTTTACCATGTATTTTTTTCAATAAATCAATAATCTCCTCAACCCATATCGGACTAGCCATCGGTTGAGAAAAGCTACTTCTGCATACTACAATTTAGAGGGAACTTTTCAGACGAGTTTATTTGCTTCATGGTGAGATTCTTCTGCTCTTGATTGGGGTCCGTTCTAAAAGATCTTCGATCACATAACAAATGTAGGGCTACTTTGCTACAGAACAGCGTGTACATGATTTTCGCGGCGTCACCCTAGCATTTCATTGGAGTAAAACGGAGACAGTAATTAATCCATAACGCCAGACACTATTCTAATTAAATTCTGGACACTATATAGTGTCCATATCAAATTTAGCGGGTTCCATAGTTTTGCTTTACCGCGCAATGTGTACTCATCCGATAGCTAATCGAAGCCAGACTAAAATAGTGGGAATGTGATCAGAAAAACCAATCTCTACACTTAATGACGTACAAAATCCCTCTTTTCCAAAAAGTTCTTTGACCGATAGGTTGACTAACAATGAATTGTTCTTCTCTTTTAATCGCTATGATCATCGTATGGAATGTGTGGATATAAAAAACACCGAAATTGACTCAACATAGGGTGCAAAGTAATTCAAATTGCTGACAGTAATGAATTTGCATAATGCATCGTAGTAACGCATAGTTAGTAGTAGCACGCATATCGCAAAGTCTCCTTTACAGTTCTGTCGTGTCCAAAACCCTAAAATGCTCGGGTCGTTGAAGTTTTTATATGTCAAGAAACTAGAAAGTCAGCAGCCGACGAAAAATTGCTTGTAGTTCGATTAGACTAAGTACGAAATTTGGTAGTGGGGCGTTATGGATTAATGAGGAGGGTATATGTGTGTCTGTTATGGTGAGCGGAATTTGACTCCCTTTACTTAGACATGTCCCATACTGTGCGCAACGGAAAACTAGGCGTCATGTGTTACTTAATTTTAGGGCTGTTCGAGCTTTAGTGAAAAAATTCGTTTAGATAGATAGGGAACTTTAATAACACTCATGTACTTTTAGTGCTAATTTTTAGGGTTGTAATAAATATAAGTGATGCCGCAAGGCTTCTGTATATATTATACATATATATGCATATATGTGTATACATGCATATATATATGTGGATATTTGTGAATTTAGGATGTGGATGGCTTGACAAGAATGAATGCTGGACGCCTTATTCGTGGCGAATTGAAACATACAGTTTTGCCGTGCACTCCATACGGATGCTTGTATCTTGTGCAAAAAGCTACAGGTGGGTGGAGTACATTAGTAAACCTTACAGTGAAGCTTTTTGTTGCTTTATTCTGCAGGTGAGGAATAAAAGGTAGTTATCTGTTTTTTTTTCCTTACGAATAAGCATGTGGTTATGTCTTCCATATTCATATCAGTCCACTAATTCGTAATTCACTATTTTAGCACAGTGCTGTCGTTGGATTTTGTTAGAATCTCATTGAATCGCTTTTGTTAGAATACGCCGTTATGCCTAATAGGAAATTTATCAACAATAAAGTGCACAGTCTTGCACACAATTTCATGTTTCTTCTTTTCATATACATTTGAATCATTTTTCTGTCTTTGTTAACCTAGTTCCGTCTTATTGATTTACCCCTCCCACCCATCAAGGTGATCCCAACGTCCGAATTGCGAAATAGCGCTAGGTGTTCCTCTACAAAGAGGGTCATTCAGGTCGAGCAGTTTAACATTTCTATCCAAAAGCATGGCTACAAGTAAAAAATGCTATTAAAAGAAGCTCTCGGCGTTGATCAATCTCTGAGGAATGCGCCACGCATTCGACTTCATTAAGCATCGTTTGGAGGTGATTGAATGCATATCTGGCCTTTACAATAACTGGCGGTGGCCTACCGATGTATCGAGCCAGTGCTGCTATCATCCCAGACAAGTCCGGTACCAATTTGCTGACCGCGGAGGGATGGAAAGCATGGTGAGTCTGGGTAGTGGGGATCGATCCTTATGTATTTTAGGGCGTCTTCGACCACTGCGCTACGCACGCCCTCGTGCTGTTACGATGCAGTGAATGTTATGAAAAATGCTGTTATGTGTAGTAAACTTAGTCGTAAGGTGGGCCACTTCCAATCTACTTCTGGAACGGTCGCCTGTAGTTGGTAGCTAGCAAGTCAGATCACCGCTTTATGGTGGGGTCGTGCAAAAATGTTGCTCAGCTAGCAAAATACCAGTCAAATGTAAATTGCGCTAAGATCCGTGCTATTCTTCGTTGAGGCGGATGTTCCAGGTTTCCACATTTTGAGTGCCAAATTTGTCATTTTGTTTTTGGTTTGCAGGTGATGCTAATTATGTATGCGGCAAGAACGTGGTCGTGTTGGGACGATCAAAAATCGTCGGAGCACCGGCTGCAGCCCTGTTCATGTGGCACCATGGAACGACCACTATTTGTCATTCAAAAACGCAAAACATCAGGGAGCAATGTCGTAAGGCGGACATTTTAGTTGTTGCAATCGGCAAGAAACATTTCGTTAAAGGTACCTTCATCTGAATTCATGGCCATGGTTGTTACACTCGTCACTTTCTCTCCAACGATAGTAAATTCGTGATCACAGGTGATTGGATTAAACCCGGTGCAGTGGTGATCGACTGTGGCATCAACGTGGAAGAGGCAACACAACCTGGAAAGAAAAACAGACTGTTCGGAGATGTAGATTTTGAGGAGGCAAAAGAGGTAATTTTAAGCATTATTATGGTGTTACAGGAGGATAACATTTGAGAAAACGCTGTTACAGGTTGCCGGTTATATCACACCGGTTCCTGGTGGTGTTGGTCCTATGACGGTTGCCATGTTGATTAAGAATACTTTCGAGCAAGCAGTGACTAGAAGACTGTATAAGCAGATTAAGCACTAGAATTGGGGTGCCTACATGATGTTTCACTACATCTTCCTTGTTTTTCTCGAGAAAGTTGCCTAACATTGTCGTCTTATCATGAATTTAATTGCTAAACATCTACATCGACCTAGTTGTAAATTATACTGTTGAAATTGAGTTTTTTTTATCGTTTGAAATCTTATTTTCCCGCCAATAAATAGCATGTCTTGCAAATTATTGGTTGAGGGCTTCGTTATTACGTATAATGGTGCACATTCTCACAAGTGGTGAATGATTCGTAAATGTTCGCCTTAACCCCTTTCGCAATGAAGTTGGTTCTTTGATAACCAACGACAATTTCTTGGCAACCAAATTACGTCAGGAGTTCTAAACATTATAGATCTATGGAGGAGACTTCATTCTATTGCAAAGATTGCGGTGTGGATTCTCAAACTCAAATATGTCTAGAATTTGAAGTTTCAAAAGCCGACGGTAAAATTTGTTTTCAGAATTTTGAACGAAAAATGGGCAGATAATAGCATAAAACTTTTCATTGGGAATTCAATCTTTTAGTGTTAGACAGATTCGCTTTTGTTCCCTTCCCCATCGTATTCGAATTATGAGCCATTATACAATGAACTGAAAGGAATTTAAATCATTAGCTCCAGAAAACCAGAATTTCGTCATACAACAAGAAGACTTTTATCTTGTAGGCAAAGTACTTTGGACTCCAATAGTTTCTATTGCAATATTGTATTATGCAATATGTATATATAATATTGCAATAAATAAAATTTATCATGAACTGATCTATATTGGTCGAATGTTGAAAACAGTCGTTACTCCCACATTGCTATAACTCCTATAGAGGTCACGTCGTCACGTAAGGGCTCATGCGTACGGTTTAACGTTACAACCTTATCGATCAGTGGGGCTAAGTGGACTGTGGTGTTGTTGCATCGCCCAGTGATATTACCTACTGTGCAGAATCAGCAAATGGCAAGTTTCTTTTTTTGGTCTTCTGCAATATATATATATATATGCATATATATACATATATGTGCGTATACACATGTATATACGTACATGTGTGCATATATACGCGTATACGCCTGTGTATGTAAGTGTAAATGTATGCATGTATTTATAGATGTGTTTATAAATTATTAGTAGGAGAGGTATCATGGGTTTTTACCAGCTATAATAAAATTTTGCTTTTTTGTCCTTTGGTTATTACGAAACGAACTTTGGAGCTCAAAATTTTTCATTTTAGTGGGTCCTTGGATTAGACTCTTGAAGGTTTTCTGAATTCAAACCAATGTTCTTGAACTGGAAATGTTGTGTAGTGTTGTAGAAGGCGTCTTCAGGGTGACAGTGGCTCTTGGAACATACAGTATCTCAATCCGAGCTTCATTGTACCCACTCCTTCGGATATAGCAATCTCACGTAGTCAGACTCCCAAGGATATTGAGCAGGTTGGTGGAGTGGAAAGAAAGAGCAGAAATGATGAGGAAGTCATATTTCAAGCATTTTCTTTAGCGGCTGACTGAGATTTTGTGTTTCTTATTTTCAAAATATATTACCATATCAATATTGGTTTAACTCACCTTTTTTTCTGTATCCTTCACCACAGTTCTTTCGCGTACTTTATTTGAAGGTTACAGCATCGAACGGATGCGCGCCAAAAAAATTTTGTTCTAACTGTTGTATGCAGCAGCAAAAGTGCATGTAGACCTATGTCACAAACAGTTGCAGTATTTGGAGAATCTAAATGTAAGATGTACAAAACTCCTGCTTTGCGATGATCGCCTACTGCTTGTAATATTGATCGGAAAACCGTTTGGTACTACTTTTTGGGGACTACGAGAAATAATAGGGGCGGGTGTGCCGTAGTAATTGGATGCGCCACTGCCACACACACACACACACACACGTGGAATTGATCCACGTGCCGATGGCTCACCAAGTCTTCCATCCCTCTGTGGTCGGCAAATTGGTATCAGATTTGTCTGGAAGGATACCAGCACTGGTTCGATACATCGGTAGGCCACTGCGGGTAAAGGCCAATTAATGCATTCAATCACCTCCAACGATATTTAATTAAGATGAAATGCATGGAGCATCCCTCAGAGATTGGTCAACGCCGAGAGCTTCATTCTTTATCCTTTATGAGAAATAATTCAGCTAAGTCAGCAAGGTGACAATCAAGGCGAAGTTCTTTTGGAAGATGCACATTTTTTTTGTGAAGCGCAGTTATTATATATATATATATATATATATATATATATATATATATATATATAT